TCCTGACCTCAAGCGATCCTCCTACCTTGGCCTCCCAGAATGCTAGGATTACAGGCGTGAGCCACCATGCCCGGCCTCAAACTAGGTTTTTTATGGGCATATTTGAGAGGTTGTAGAGGAAGTTCTAGAATCATTTATAGTTTTTTTGTTTTCATTTTGATAATTAAGTATGAGCATCTGCTGGAGACCATTTGTAATATTATAACTAATGTTAAATATAATGGCTCACATGCATTTAATATTGTATTGCTAAGTGTGATCACCTAAATTGATAGTTTTAACTTTGAAAATAGTATTTTTTCAAACTAGGATCTATATTCTCAGGGGTCCTTGAATTTTTTTTTTTTCTTTAAAAGATGTCTGAAGTTTGAGAAACCTTGTTTTAGAGGAATTTTCATATATAAACAATTGATGTATTAATATTAAACAGCAACCAACTTCATCTGTGTTTATTAATAGGTCTTTAATACTCTTCTTTATGCCCGTTTAAATGAGTGAGCTTCTATTAGTTTTCTGATTATGTATAATGCTTTTGTTTGAATTTTGTTTTTATAATTACTTTTCCACTAATTTGAACTGACTTAATTCTCCCCTGAATTAGTGGGTTTCTGATGTTTTTTATGTAATAAATATAGTTAATTCTTTATTTTTCCAATTTAGGCATTGATTCTGAAGGCCATGCAGCTAACTTTGTAGAAACAGAACAAATTGTACACTACAATGGAAGCAAGGCTTCATTTGTACAGGCAAGTTAATATATCTGTTAGGCAGCCAGCCAGTTGAGTGGGCCTTTCTGCTTAGATTGTGATTTTTTTGGTCATGTTTTTGAAATTTCCCTCTTATTCCTTCCTCTCTGTTCCTAAGCAACATTTTTGTCTACAGTATGGAAAAAATTCACCTGGCAAAGGGTAGTCCATTAATCTGACACTGACCTGCTTTCATTTCCTGCCCTTAAATTAAATCCCTAATGGAAAGGATAGGGTAGGAAGTGTGAAGAGAGTTATGGAAATGGAGCCACCTATCTGTTTAATGATGTAGACTTATTCAGGACAATGATGATAGGACAAGCTCATGGTTTGTGATTGGCTTTATCTGACTTGCACTTCACTGTGAGATAATGTGTCTCTTTTGTTGCCTCCTTATGGAGATGTGGATCACTTGTTGCTGTAGAGCATTAGAGGTCAAACATACTCATATGTTCATAAACATATTCATTTGAGAATGAACAATTCTCTAATTTTTTCATAATGCCAAATTGTATAACAGACATAACTTGTTAATTTTTACTTGTGGATAATTTTATTTTAGAATTTAGAGGAAATATAAAACTATACTGTACAAGTTCCATGTATATAAAACCAGAAGGAGAAAAAGTCCTTTCCAAGTGTATCCCTGTAAAATATGAACTTTAGGAGCAGGTACATATGGACTTCTTTCATAGTTGATAGGTTGTATTATTTTTTTCCTTTGCAAAGTTGTTAGTATATGTACCCTACGGCTGGTCCAAGGGCAGTGGTGTTTACAACTAATTGATCACCACCAGTTATAGACCCCTTGTTCCTTCTCCCACTGCTTTACTTGACTGGCCTTTAAAAAAATATATATGTATATACATACAGCCCCCTGACAATAAGTAATTGGGAAAAAGAAGTTTGTATGATGTTTCTTTTTCATATTTCTCTTGCTTTTTTTTAGACTCGAGGATCAATACCGGTTTTCTGGTCCCAAAGACCAAACCTCAAGTATAAACCACTGCCACAGATCAATAAAGTAGCAAATCATGTGTGTACCTTCTATGCTTTTTTTATTGGCTAAAAATAGCTTAATGGCTTTATAGTTTGCATATAGAGAATGTGTTTATTCCCCGTAAGTTAGAATTCAACATCTTTAAGGCCCTTCTACTTGGTTCTGGCACACAGTGAACCTCTAAACCAAAAAACTATGTAGATGGCATGTTAGAAGTATGGAAAACAGGGCGAGTGTGGTGGCTCATGCCTATAGTCCCAGCACTTTGGTGGGAGGATTGCTTG